GTCCTATATCTCCTTGGCCGAAGACATACAAAGATAATGTTGACTTATATGAGGTTGCATAGAATTGACCAACCATCCTATGACAGTATAGTTCTCTTGCATCCATYTYTCAAATTCAGKGYCTRTCTCTTCGGGTTTCACTTTACTACCTGTGAGATACCCGAGTTTTCCTCTACTATAGACATAAATTCTTATAGACTGTGCCCAAGCAAGATAATTTGTCCCATCTAGCTTGATTGTGATCACACCGGTCAAAACGAAATCTATTGAGCCAAGGCCGGAAACCGGCACTTGCTTGAACTCACTTTCGTATGGCTCCATTAATCAAACGAAAATCAAAGAACCAGAAATTTTGTCTATATAAACTTACTTGAAGTCAAACCAGGACCCAGATGCTTGAAAACTAGGGTTTTACTCCGTCCAACTGTTGGGGAGGAAGAGAGAAGATGCAGCCGCTCCTATCAGAGCTTCCCAATCTCTTCCAAACCTGAACTGCCCTCCTTTAGGAGTCATTAAGGGTGTATGGGAAAAGAGGAAGAAGAAAGAAAAGGAAGAAATAGACCTGCTCTGATACCAAGATGTAAATCAGTCCTCAAATATTAGGTGTAAATTTGAAGATTAGAAGGAAAAAAAGGAAGAAGAAGTAAGAGCAGTAGTACAAGAAAAGAAGATGGCGAAAAGAGAAGGAAGAAGAAGATTCGAATTATCTTCCCTTTCTCCTCTAATCCTTTTTATTAAGAATTAGTGTTAGAGTAATGACAAGTATGCCCTTATGTGGGCGGCCAGCTAGGCAGTAACATAAAAAGATTAAACAAAAGAAATAACAGGCCCATTAAGAGAGGCCCTTTAGCCAACAAGAAAAGAAAAGATATTACAAGAGAAGATACTAGGACCCATTCGGCCTAGTCTCTTTACATAAAGTATTAAATAGAATATTATATATTTAATATATTTAATTAGATAAAACCATTTGTTCGTTTATCGGTTCAGTTCAGTTGAAAATCTCAGCCAAACTGAACTGAAAACCAATTTTCCAAAAGAACCGAACTGAACTGAACTAGCTTATTCAGTTAGGTTTGGTTCAGTTTTCAAGTTTATCGTTCGAATTTGAGCACCCCTAGTTTGTATGCAATTTCATATCAAATTAACAACTAAATGAGGCTATACTTTTATATAATAAAAATTTAAGATAGAAAAAGGAAAATAAGAAAAGAACAAAGGGTGCAACTGTTTTTATTTTTTATTTTTTGTAAGAGAGAGTGGTTCTACGAAGAAAATAAACCTCTTTTATCCTTCTCTTCTTTCTTCTTTTCTTTTTTTTTTCTCATCTTAAAACGTTTAGATATTTTAAATTGCAATAGTAAAACAAATTTTACCATTGATACAAGTCAAGGCACTTAGACCTGGTGCCCTGCACCCAACCAAAGGGAAAGGTTGCCTCGATGCCTAGTTGATGCCTTGGCAACTATGGGGAGGGGCACTCTGAAATTACACTGTTATTACTAGGCTGGGAATTATCAAAATTAGTCAAAGTGACATTGGCATTGCTCTTTTAGTCACTTTTCAAATGAACAGGCTTCGTATGGGATTTGTCTGTGTCAAGGTTTTTGGTAGTTGTGTATTAATCTCATCCAACTCATCAATTTATACCACCTTTGTGCTGGTGTGCCACTAACCTTCTACTTTCTTGATGCCATTGCAGGTAACTCCTACATAGCAGTTTGTAATATTGCCATCTGATGACTTTGTCTTCTAGACAAGGGAATATGGTTATGGTAGATATAGCACATCATTACTAAGATATATTGTTTGGTGAAGTTGTACTTTGGGTCTAAGCTAGTTAGAAACTCAAAACATTCTATTCTTTTCAACATAAGACTTTTGTGTTGCTTGAGGTCTTTAGAATAGTGCATCCACCTTCTAGTGATCAATCTTGTTTTTGATATGATGCCTAGACACATATATGAATGTGGAAATGTATATAGAAACAAAGATTCCATTACTTAGAATCATAAACATGGATATGGGTATGGATATACCATGTAATATACTTATATCATTCTTATATATCTAATTTTTGAAGTTAAATGTCATTTCTTAAGGCTCATGTCTTGTCAAATGTAATTAAATTACAACTTTTTTTATAGTATAGTTTCTTGAAACTTACCATCTTACTTGTGTTAAAAGGCTTAATGATATGGAATACATAGAGAAGTGTTAGTTCAGTATCTAGTATCGTATATAACACCAATATAGTATCCATGTATAGGTATTGGGGTATCATAATCCCTAGGAGGGAATGAATGGAAGGGAAGTGATTGTGAGTGTGACTGAATGCCATTTGGCCGTGCATTTTGCATGTTATTTTTTTTAAGTGCAGCTCATCTGGCTGTCTGGCTTTGGCAGACCAGAAAGCTGATAAGCTGTGCAGGGGAAGCCGTCTAAAATGGGTATTGGATCTCCTTGATTCCCCTTCACCTCTAAAGAGGGTGTTATGGTAATATTTGTCTAAATCTACTCATGGAACACATGGTTTTACAAAATAAAAATTATTCAAAGTGATTAAATATTCTTTATGGTTTGCAATGCTCACATGGTTGTTGTTTTCCAAAGTTTGTTTTATGTCAGCTGCATCATGACTTGTGCCATTCTGATGACAGCCGAAGGATAGTGGTAAGAGTGTTGTTCTTCCACCAGATGGGAAGAGTGCTGCTGCCAATGTTTTTGAATTGATTGTGCAATCTGAGCTAAATGGTAATACCTATGTTTTATATGCTTTCCTAGTGTATTCAAGCTGTTCTGTGGTATATATAGTTCTTTTCAATTGTGTAATTAGACTTGACATAATTATCCCATTGCGAAGTTTTATTGGTTCTGATTGCTATAATAGGGGTTCCTTTATAGCACATTAATGTTGGAAGCCTGTGATGCAGTTGCTGCTGCTTCAGCGTTTGATGATGGGGATGACTATGATAACATTCAGACTTCCATTTCTGGTACATCATTAGGCTTTTAATATTTATTTCTACCAAGTATCTTTGTCTTAGTTGCTACCCAGTATCCAATTATACATTATCGCTGCAATTTATTGGCAGTAATGGATGAGAGGTTGAGCTCTTATGCTCTTATTGCTCGAGCTGCAATTGATGTGACAATTCCTTTACTTGATCGACTGTTTTCTGAGCGCTTTTCATCACTTCATCAGGTGATTTTTCATTTTATTTAACAGTAACATTGTGCCTTAAGGCTTAAAACCTTGGAATGTTGTTTGGTGATTTGGCGTGATTATTTCTTGCTTCAAGTTGCCTCTAAGGCTTTTGACCAATTTTTAAGGTAAAAGCCATTCCTTTTGTCTAACTGATCGAATTGACTTGGTATGGTTTTGGTGGGCCTTAGGTGATAACAGGTTTTCCACTGCTAGTCCCAACTCATGGCTATAATTTTTGCTTTTACACTGTTATGGAACTGAACTTATTGAAAGAGGATAAAGAGACAAAGAACATTAGAAAGGAAGTCTGCATGACAGAAAAGGGTGGAGATAAGAAATGCCCACCTGTTCGGCAATAAGTGCTGAGGTTTGTTGAGGAATTCATTGACAATATGTCTAACAAAGCAGCTCATTGGGTGAGATCAGTCCTCATGGCTAGATGGATTCCTTCTAGAACAGGCTATATAAAGCTAAAATTTGATAGCTGTACATAGGAAATCCAGGTATGTCAGGCATTTGAGTGTTCAGATATGAGGAAGGAAGCATTATTGCATTGTTTTTGGTACCTATAGGGATCGAAGACTCAATCGAGGTAGCAACTTGGGCAATTCTCCACGGAAAAAGAAGGGAAAAATCTTTGAACATCAGAAATCTGATCATTAAAGGAGATTCAAGAATTGTGATTGGGGACATCTGAGATCTCATGGAAATTCAGATATGCTGTTGAGAAATCAGAAATATGATAGGGGGTTGTGATTTAACCACTGATGAGTCATCTGAGATCTTCATATCTTGTGATACCTCGAAGCTTAGTTCCACAATGGTTGAAGTTGTTGGAGTGAAGCCGGAGGAGGTTCCTAGATCTCTTGATGTTTTTTCAAATGGTGTTTGGATCTTGACGGAGCATGAAACATCACTCTGGGGGAAGGTCAAGAGGTTGAAGTTGAAGCTGATGTGACAGGTTGGAGGCAACACAGAAGCAAAGGTTTGGAAGAGCGATTGTCGACAGATGAACTCGGTTTGGAAGAAGAGAGGATGGAAGGAAAAAGGAACAATAATTACACAGGATAGGTTAGATGATTTAAATGGTTATGAAAAGGTGGAGAGTAATCTCGAGAAACGAAAGGTTAATGAAATTTCAAAATTGGGCGACATGTTAGACCTGATTGGGTTAGGCGATAAAATAGGCAAAGAGAGCGGGCCCGGTATTAGGGGCGATTGCTCTGAACTAGGTGGAACTCAGAGGGACTTTAGCAACTCGTTGGATTATCCTGGCGAGTCTGCTCTTAAAGGTGATTTTTGAGAGTTTAATGGACCCAAATTTATTGACTCAAGATGCTGGGCATTATCCAATACTCTAGCCAATCGGCTTATGTCATCTTCAGAAGTGGTCAAGTCAAAAGAAATGGGAGTTTCAGGGGCAGAATACAGAGAGGAGAGGATAGAATGCAAAGCTGGTGAATGCTCTATATCAGAAAACGGTTCTATAATAGAAATCAACAGGGTAAGAGAAGATGACCTCAAAGAGTTGGAAAAGTCAGAGAAAGAAGAAGAAGGGATTGGAAGGAAGAACAATTTGGGAAAGAGTTATGTGGAGGGAGGGAGAGGGGGACTGTGTTCAAACAGAGCATGAGCTAGAAGGCGATGTAATCATGAATGTTAGTGAAAGAGTAGAGATGGATGTTGAGAAGGGTAAAAAGGGAGGAAAACCTTTGTCAAAAGTACAAAGAAAAAACAAAAATATAGAACTTGACCTTTACAAGATGATAAGGTCACAGGCGACGAGGGTTGTGTAGTCTCGATTACAGAGGAGGAAGTAGTAATTATGGATGAAACTCACGTAATTGAGAAGACAGCAGATATGGAAATGGTGCTGAACAAAGAGGTGGAAATTAGTATAACTTTGGGATTATTCTTCCTGGGGGGTGGGAGGATTTTGCTAAGGAATCCTTCAGGGAGGTGGAAGAAGAGAATAGAGATCTGTTGAAGGAGAAGGATATGGAGACATTCACATTAGAAAAGAAGGTGGCTGGTTCGGTCTCTCAGATGGCTGAGGGGAAAGTGAGCGTGAAGATGGGCGGAGTCATAGGGGAGGGGAATTCTAAGAGAGAAGTCTCGGGTGCAGTTAGATTTTTTTGAAAAGAATACGATTTTTGAATTGGAGAGAATCAATGATAGAAGGGAGGCCTCTTCGACTGTGGACACAATTCCTAACGCAGTAAGATGATTCAGAAGACAGAAAACTAACCAAGCAGTGCAAGTTTCAAAAGTTTTTGCTAGATTAAAATTGGGAGTATTTGGGATGTGGCTAAAGAAGAAGAGGAAGAAGACAAAAAAATCTCCTCAGATAAGAAGTGGAAGCTCTGTTTAAAATCTGGATGGACTGAGAAATTGGGTAAAGTTTGAGGTCATTCTTTTGTCAGAAAGGGTCTTTTGGGTTCGGGGTGCATTTCATTGTTTTAAGGTAGGGATTGGGGGGATGGTTGGGATATCATATTACTGTATGTTTTTTGTCTTGTTTAGTGGAAGGGATTTTTTGATATTTGTGATGGGTTCTTCGTAGCTGTCTTTCGGGTGGGGTTTTCAGGATGTCTTTGATGTTTGTAGGGTTGATCATATTTTGTATTAGGAGTTAAGCTGAAATTTTTGGGTAGTTCTTTGGGTGGGTGATTTATTATCACCCTGTTGTATCCTTTTTTGTTTTCTTAATAAATTTTATTTTTTATTTATCTTCGAAAAAAAAGCGAGCAGGTATAATTTGGATCCCATGATCTGCAAACGGGCAGGCAGATGGTTTGCCAAAGTATTGAAGGATAGTATGTTTCTGGGCCAAGTAATGTAAAAGATTTTGTTTTAGTGCTTGTTGTTATGTCCTCGGAGATTGTTAATAAGGCTAACTACATTTTTCGGTGTTTAAGACAACCATTGTACCAATAATATTTCATTTAGATCAATAGAATTTTTAGTTATAAAAAAATAGAGTTTTTGAGGGGAAGGGTGTTAAATAAGATGAAGGGAAAGATGTTAGGAACAATGTTTTAGAACGCGGAGGCATGACGTGAGGTGTTCCATTACCTAGAGGTGTGAGGCATAGTTCAGAACGCAAGAGGCGTAAGCCTCCCGAACACAAGGAGGCTTATGCCTCCTTAAGAGGAGGGGGGTTAGGAGGAGGATGAAGAGGAAGGGGGGATCTCGTTTTTTTCTTTATTTTTAATAAAAATCTTTTATATTAAGAAGAATAAAGATGCATAACAATAGTTCAAAGGGGGGGTCTTGTTGAACAGAAGATATGGGAGTGGTAGACCTAATATACCTAACTAAGCTATTTAATAAGAAAATGAAACAAAGAGGATGCAAGATGACTGGAGAAAGGGCACTTTGGTGCTTATATTTAAAGACAAAATTGATATATAAAGTTGTCTTGACTCATAAAAAAGTGATATAAAGTTGTGATAATTATTGTGGGATGTTTTTATTGTGTTTTAGTACTGGGGCAGGGGGAGGGGAGGAGACAGTTGCTGGTGCAACTTTTAGTTACACAAAGTAGAATCTGAAATAGCACTTTTGAACAGAAGATGTAATTTAAGAAAACCTAGAATGCCGCTGTTCACAACACAGAAATAGAGAAACAAGAAAGGGGAGAAATAAGTGAAGACTTAGTGATTTTCAAGTTATATTTTGAAGAGTTACTGCAGATATAAAGTCAAAGAAGAATAAGAATAAGAATAATAGAATACCAATAAAGAAAAACAATAATATAGTAAATTAGAATCTACAAAAAAATAATAGAGAAAATAAGAGATATGTACTGAACTGGTATGATGATGATAAGATAATGTAGCTCGTACAATAGATTTGCTTCTGTTCTGAAATAACTAAAAACCTGTTATTGAATTTGCTATGGCTGATTCCCTTTGTTGGATAGGCAACTGAAAAACCCTTCTGCCGGAATGGGCAAGTCTTGATCCATCTGAAATGTGATGAAATTCCAACTTCAGGGCAGCCCAGTGCACGAGGCTCCCGCCAATGTGGGGTCTGGGGAGGGACAGCTGTACACAGCCTTATCCCTGCACAAGTGCACATACTGAGAAACTGTTTCCAAGATGAAATTCCAACTTCACTTTCTCTAAAATCTACACATTCACCAAATATTGTCTTTTAACCTATTTGATTCTAGATTAATTAAGGACACTGTTGGCACAATTTTAAATCAGAAAGCTACAAAAAACTAAAATTGATAAAAAAATACCAGATCCAAAAAATACAAAATTGTCATAGGATGAGGAATCAGGAGAAGCTTGGTTTCTTTTTCTTCTTCCATGTTTTCTTTTCTTTGTTACATGCTCATGTCACTCTTAATATGCATGACATGAAGTGTAGACCCAGTTTCTTATTTTATTTATTTAGGTTGATGGATGCACTTGAATGCATCAGTTCATTTGAGATAGCTTCCAACATCAGTACCATATGGTTAGATGCTAATGTTTTGCAGCTTTTGGTCTGTCAACGCAACAAAGGGTAAAGCTGAATTTTGTTGGAAGTTCTATTGGCAATCCAGGCCCATCTAGTATAGGGAGAGTTTTCAGAGATGGAGAGGGTAGAGTAGTTGCTATGTATTTGGGACCAAGAGGAGTGGGTGATTCATTGAGAGTGGAGGTGATGGCTTTACTTCAAGGTGTAAGGCTTGCTAAACAGTTGGGTCTACACCAAATTGAGATGGAAGAGGACTCTAAGTTGCTAATTGGGTGGACACAATCAGATAGATGGTGAGGGAAATCTATTGTATAGCAAGGGAGATTGGAGTATGCTTTAAGTGGACTGGAAGATCAGCTAATGGGCCAGCTGATACCTTAGCAAAACAAGGGACTACTAGGTATAATTTGTTTTGGGCAGTGGTGTAATCATCAAAATGTTTTGGGGTCAACACCCTTCCTTAGGATGGTTGACATTGTACTTTGAAATCTCTTATTTAATGAAAGTTACTGTTTGCAATAAAAAAGTGGCCACTCGCAGACTTGAACTGACATTGTCACGCTTGACAGCCCGAGAATTTACTATTACGCCAAGTAATGGCCCCCCTTTTTTTGATCAATAAGAGAAGATTCTATTAAAGCCAAACTTGAAGATTACAATGAGGTGGGCTTATTCTCCATTCCAAACAATAAATTTACAATTTTTCCCAAAACATTTGATGTCTAACACCCCTTGTTTAACTAGAGTATCCACCATCCCATTTGCTCTTCGTCTCAGCCATTTAAAAGAAACAGTCAACTCCCTTTTAATACTTTCAATTTCCTGAACTGTGTGTCTATGGATCCATGGGATTTGGGTACTGCATCTTGTTCAAGAAATGACCACCTGAGAATCCCCTTCCACCTCCAAGTTGTGGAATCCAAATTGCTTAGCAAATTTTAATCCATGTGGTATCCAAACAGTTCTTCTGTCAATGTATCCTCTTGCTCTAATGGTCCTGAATACAGAGCTAGCACCTTTCCTTCTGAATCTTGGAATACACCTCCTAAACCAGCCACAGCTTGATTATCAATTAAACTTCCATCAAAGTTAAGTTTTATAAAGTTGGTTGCCAGGGGTCTCCAGTCCATGATTGTTCTTTCCTTTCCTTGGGCTGAAAGAGCCACTTCCAAGTTCTCAGAATGTCATTCAGTGAGAAAACTTGGAAAGCTTCCAGAGTCTTCACCCATTTTGCAGCTTTTATTTTTACTATGTCTATGATTTCCGCCTCTGGCCTACTCTTTTCATTGAAAATTTTTCCACAATAACCTTCCTCTTTTCTTTGGCTGTCTCAAGAAGTTTGGATCAAAGAGACCCAAGTAATGGTCCCTTTTCCAAAAAAGAAAAAGAACAAGCAATTTTTCTATCTTACTTACCTTTTAGCTTGTGTTGTTTCCCTCATGATTGGTATTAAACTATTAATTGCTTATCTGTTTAGTCTTATGCTTTGTTTTGTAGGGCAGAGGCAAATCTGATCCTACACGCACTCTGGAGGAACTTTATTCTCTATTACTGATAATTGGACATGTTCTTGCTGATGAAGGAGAGGGAGAAACACCCTTGGTAAATGATCTTGTTCCTCCTCCCTCCTTTGAGTTTTCAATGCTAATGTACCCTTATCATTAAGAAAATATACGTTCTTCAGCTGGGAATGCAAGTTCCTGATGTTTATCTTGATTGTATATTACTTTCACTTTTTGAAATAAGTAAAGAGCTGGAAAGGATATAGGTGTTCTAAATGATACATGAAGTATTTTGACATTTATGAAATAACACATCCATTTAATGGTTGAATTATGCTTCTATCTGAAGATCTATATTGGCCATTGCATTTATAAAATTGCCAGTATTGGTGGGCAATCTCCACTCATCTTTCAGAGACATCTAACTTAACTTTACCAGTGAGGGATTCTTCTTTTGCTACATTAACAAAATATGTATTATTTCCACTCTTGAAGGTGTTTGAGAACTCCATAATTTGTTGACTTTCACTATAGGGGGGATTTCACATTTTCACTTTAAGCTGTCCTTTGGCTCCCCCTTCTAAATGTATTGATTATCTATAGATAGGTCAAACAGTGATTCTTTAGAATGTTTCATGGACACCATTTATTTGTCACTAAGGTCACAATAGGAATTCAAACCACTTTACCTCCCCAAACTTAGAAACAAGCATTGGACATACATTTCTATTATTCATGTACTATATATAATTTTGGGGGCAAAATAAAAGCTTCATTCATTACCAATTAGAAAAAAAAAGGCTTAGTGCATTATTTTATCCATCATGAAGTATGCTTACATTTTTTTTTTCAATTTTAATAGTACCAATCTAGCGGTTGATTATTAGAAAATGATTGGCATCATTGCTATTAGTTTATTTATTTATTTGCTTTTGCTTGGTGGGGGTGAGAACACCACTAATGGTCTATATACTCTTTGACAATCAGGTTCCGGAGGCACTGCAATGCAATTTTGTGGATATTGTGGAAGCAGAAAAGCATCCTGTTGTTATACTTTATGGGTAGAAGTTCTCACTTTCACTATTAGTACATGCACTCAATTGAGGTGGTAGTTATTTTTATTCTAAGAAGATGGAAAAATGAATCAATCTTGTATACCTTCCTATCCATATAATAAACATGAAATGACAAGCTTACTTTGTTATGCTATAGTTGCTATGTTTCTTCCACTTGCAGTGCAGTATATTATGTACCTTGTTAGAAGAACAGGCTTATTGTGATTTGCATGCCAGAATTTCTAGTTATAAGCATGTTATAATCAATTATAGTATCACAAGTGCTCTTATCAAATTCTTATCTGTCATTTTAGGAGATTTAGGCCTTTTTCCCATTATTTTCCTTTTGAATATTTATGCTTTTTTACTATTTTTTTCATGGCACATCATCCATTATTTCTTCATGGCACATCATCCTCAATGGCATAAACATATGTGGCACATTTGGTGTAGCTGTGAAGGCACCAAACCTGGAAAAATGTATGATACACTTTCTTGTTTCATTTCAGTGAAATGTGAAATAGATTTTTGCTAGATTACTCTCAAATGAATTTATTGCTTAAATAATTTTTTTATAACATTTCTGAAATGTTGCTTCCCTATGAGGTGGTTAACCTTGGGTAAAATGTGAAATAGATGCAAGGTTTTAAAAGGATAAAGGCGTAGTTGAGGCATAATGGCCCAGAAAGCTGAGGTGTATGCCTCAAAAGTTAGAAAAATTATAAATTATAAAAATAACATGTGGTGTACCAATTTAGAATGACAGAAGGTGCAAATATCCATAAAATGGAAGTTTATAAGCAATAAGTTCTAGCTTTTAAGTGTTAAATAAAATAATAACTAATCAACTAACGATTATATACATTTTACATTTCAAGTTTCAAAATGCAAAGTTCTCAAATTATTCAAATGAACAATTATTCAAAATGCAAATTTCTCAAATTATTCAAAGCAGGTTAGTTAATTTGATTTATGCAAAATGGTCTTGTGTCTAGAAATGGCGGAAGTAGAGAAATCAAACGATTTGAAGGAGGCGTGGAGGCCCTTCTACCAGAGGGCATCTGAAGCTGAGATGTAGTTGTTAGTGTGAGGTTGTTGATATTGATTATGTGAACGATGAAGGAGACAAGGATTCAAATCGTGAAAGAACAGATAGAAGAGTTGACTGGCAGTTTGATGCTTTTGAGCACTTGCCTTGTTGGTAGGTTCATAGGCTGCGAGTTGAAGAAGGATTCGATTGAAGCTCGAGTGGGGTCAAAATGAGGGAAAGAAAGAGTTGTGGGCGTCAGGAGTCTGGTTAGGGGTCTGTTCCTGTTTATGCTTCAGAGTAAGGAAAACACTGAATGGGTGATGGACTCAGAAAAGGAAAAAACGAGAGAGATAGATCTAAGAATGTGCTGGTGGTTTCCAGCGGTAGGGGAGGTTCAGACTGGACAAAGGAGGAGGGCGGTGTAGATTGGAGTAGTGGGGATTCTGTTGCATGTTTGGGGTCCGATGACTTTCAAGCTGATTGGAGATAGGTTTGGGAAATTTCTCAATTTCGATGAAAGGAATGACAACTGGGAGAAGATTGATTTTGTAAGATTATTAGTGGAAATTGAAGATCTAGAAGAAATTCCAAACTCGATGGAATTACTATTTGCAAGGGAGAGTTATGACTTGTGTATGTTCATAGAAGGAGAATATCTAACATTATGGAGGGCAAAGAAAATCACTACCTCTCCCGAGGCCTGCTCGGAACTTAGGAAGGCAATGATGATGACTTGCAGGGAGGAGACATCCTCCCTGTAATGAGTTGCCTTTTGGGAAGATGAACCATTGGTCTGAGGTTGAAGACGAAGGAGTTGAAAGGGCCTGGGGGGGTAAAGTAGTAATTTAAAAAAGGGGATGAAATTATTCTAATTAATGAAAGCCTTAGGAATGACATGGAAGAGGAGGGAGAATTCCATGAGTTCAGTCACTGCTTTATGGATGAATGTGTTAACTCCTTTTCAGATACCCAAGGGACAATAAGGCAAAGTGGGGTCCACATCTTTAAGAAGTTAAGTGGTTCCATTGCTGTGAGACATGTGGCTGGAATTGACGGGAAAGAGTAGGAAAGATGTGGGTTAGTAAATAGGAGCTTATTAGTTGATTTTGTTAGGTCAAATCATACGAGCAAAGTTGTTGGCTATGGGAGTGGGAACCACTCTTCAAGTTTGAAGAATAGGTGTAATAGTAATTATATGGGGCTCAATTTCCTAATGGCAATAAAGGGGAAAGGTGCTAAGTTTAAGCAAAGAAATAGAAGAAGAGCGTTTCGAGAACAAAGGACGGGAACAATGAGAAAGAGGCAACTCAGTTTAGTTCCGAGAGGCATCCATGTACTAGGGATTGCGTTGCCAACTTTTTGCAATGGGTGAAGGTGGTCAGAAGGACGAAGCGGACCAGAATAAAGCTGATGAGCCAACCAAGTATGACTATTAGATTTGGGTCTTTTGTAGTTGGGATCGCTTTTGATTCTATGTAGTGGAATGGAGTGGTTTCTTCTAATTGGAGCTTGGGGAAATTTGAAAGAGGAAAAGAGGGAAAGAAAGCATGTTTAAGGGAAGAATAGAGGGGAGAGGTAAGAGGGGGAAATGAACAATATGGAGGGGAGAAGGGGAGGTTATTGAAGGGAGTGAAGTCTGGCATACAGAGGTATGCAATTTAGGGGAGGAGGGTAAAAAAGAAGAGAGTGGTAGTGCTAACGTTTCTGATAATCTGTTAAGATTTGTTGTCAAAGTCGACAAACTTGGAGTGGACTTAGGACCAATGTTTTAAAAACTGATCCAGAACTGGAACTGTTTTGGCCACTGGTTTCCAGGTCGATGGTTTGATCGTCCAGTTTGAATGGACGACCATTCTAACAAAAACCTAAAAAACTAGAAAAGTAATTAAAATAAAACTGCAAAAAACTGTTGAACGGGCTGATAGTTTGACTGCTTGGGTCAATGGGTCGTTGATCATTTCAGCGGTTTTTGGCCAGGGATTAGGTTTGGGGTAAAACGTAACCGGTGCCTAGATGGTTCTCGGGCCGAATGGTCCGACAGCGTCAGTTCAAAAACATTGCTTAGGGCGAAGAAGTTTAGTGAACAAGGAAGGGGATGAAGATGGGTTTGGGATGATGAAGAAGGCTAGGGACCCGGGTAAGTTCCGAATTATTCATGTTTAAAATGTTTTCTCAAGACTAAAGGATGGTCTGATTCGTGTTAGGCCTACAAACAAGTTTAAGAAAGTTTATTGAAGAGAAGTTCTAGGGGCAAAGGCCTAAAATATAAACTTGATGAGAAAGAGGGTATTGAAACTTAAACGAGAGATGAGGAGTTGCTTCGGTGTTCTAATCCTAAGGATGGCGTGACGACTAGGTTAGAGGAGAAAGAAAAGGAGCTTAGGCGAGAGAGCAAGAAGACTTTAAATGATTCATTGACTGTTAGGGAGCAAGAAGTCTTTGCATTATCTAAATTACTACTGGTGTAATTTTCAACTTGGTATCAGTGCAGGTTCTCACTTTCGACCTTTTTCTCTTTTCTTTGCCCATACATAGTGTGTATGAAGAATTGATTGGTTGATCAATCAGCTACTTATGCAGCCCAGTTAGGAGGTTTTTTGTGAGAGTTTTGTGGAGGCTTTTATCCCTAGTTGAAGCCCAAGGCAGGTTTTTGGAGATTTTTTTCCCAAAAACCCTAGATAACTAGAGAAATCTTGTTACAGGTCGTAGAGATAGTTTCAACCAGGCGTTTGGGGATCAAAGATAAGCCTTTTGATTTATATTGACGGACATTTTGGTTGGATTGAGTTCTAGAACCTTTGGAAGGGGCGGTTGAAGTTTCTCTCCTTCTCCCCATCTTGTCGAGTCCTATGAAACCCTAATTTTGGGGGGTTGAAGGGTTCTTTGCTTAGAACAGTAAATCTAGCCTAGTAGAACCCTAATTTGATTTTCATTTGCATTTGTTTACTCAATGGAGCAAACTGGAGGAGAGACCAAATATTCCACAAATTCTGAGTTTGGACTTGAGGGGTTCGTGGTGAATCTTTTTGTGGCTATGACTATTGTGAAGTTAGATGGGACCAATTATTTAGCTTGGTCTCAATCTATTAAGATGTATGTGTGTAGTAAAGGAAAATGGGGTTACATTACTAGGAGCAAGAAGAAACCGAAGGAGGATGATCCTACCTATGAAAGGTGGATGCAGGAAAGATATACAGTAGTGGGTTGGTTAGTGAATTCTATGCAACCACACATTAGTCATCATTACCTGTGGATGGAAATTGCAAAAGAAGTGTGGGATAGTGTCACAGAGACCTATTCCCAAAAGCTTATTGTTGCTCGAGCATACAAATTGAAGCATGATGTGAATAATCTAAGGTAGGGGGAGAAGCCCTTAGCCATCTACTTCTCTATGCTGAAATCTCTTTGGCAAGAGATTGATTTGATGGAGACTGTTGTTTGGGGTTGCACAAAGGATGCTGAAACATATAGGAAGTTAGTGGAGAGAAATCGGGTCTTGAGTTCCTCACCAAATTCATTGTGAGGTAGAATATTTTAGCAAAGGATGAGGTGACTTAGTCAGGCATATGCTATGGTGAGCAGTGAGGAGAGTAGAAGACAAGTTTAGTCTGTTGAGCTGTAGGTTGATTACCAAGTTTTAAAATGTCGATGTCGATGGAAATGTCGCTTACCAAAATATAGGACATATGTCGGAAATGTCGTGGGGAAATATTGTAAAAATTAGAGACATTATGGAAATATTATGAAATATGTGGAAATATGCAAAGATATTTTGTAAAATG